TATACAAATAAATAACATTAAAGACACTCTGATTTTGCCCTGGAATTGACTATGACCTCTTCTCAGCCTACTTGAGGGCCCTCTCCTAATAAAATCATTTAGGATTTTCCAAATTCTYATGGAAATAGGTAGGTAGACACTATCTACCCCTAGTCTCTAAGCTCAAAATTACTTTGTCTTCACTTGTTCCGTGTCTAAGTATTGGATTGTACACATCTACTTCAGATTGATGATTGCAACCAATTAGAGGATTGTTAAGATCAATTTTAAGGGTCATAAGCAGTACTTTTAAAAATTGAAATAGACTACAATAGAATTTAATAGAAAATATCAGAATGCACCACACTAATTCCTGTCTGGGACTTCTGAAAATTCAATCATTTGGAAAGAGAAGAGTCAGGGAAGGAGGGGAAATCTATATAYTGGAATTTCCTGGGTTCATTTGTTGGACAGATAGCATTGTATATCCCAATTTTATATTATCAGAACTCACTGTAACTTATGAAATTAAGTACATGAGAGTATTATTTGCTTGTAGAAAACCCAAAATTTCCAACTTGATGTTTTTGGAAATGGGTGTCACCAGTATGGTATGTGTATCAAGTATAATATATTACACAAACTAGCATAAACTGCAAGATGTTATTTTGTTATTAGGAGAAAAAGGAATACACGAAGCAAAAACAAACAAACAAACAACAACAACAAAAAAAAAAAAACCCCCCCCACACACACAAAAAAAAACACCAGAAAAGTGTTCAGGTTCAGCTGCTGGAACTAGAATTGTAGTAGTGAAAATATTTAGAAAACATTCACTCTAATTCATAAACATTGATTTTACAGCTCATTCAAAAAGGAAAAGTGCATTTCCTGAAAATGAAAACATATTCCCTTCAAAACTAAAATGACATCTGAAGATATAGCAGAGTGAAATTATCAACAAACTCCTAAATATGTGCTTAGAAAAGGCAAAGTTATTGGCATAATTTCTCAGTTGTTCCACAAAAAGAAAGACAATCTTCATATTTGGTAGCCTAATATTGTGGCAAAAAAGAAAAGTGGTTCATGGTAAGAGCTCAAACTCCTCTTCATCCAGCACTGATGTATATGGCACTGATAAATGAAAACTGTACTTCTTGGTGATGTCAAAATACCAATTGTAATATCACAGAACATTTAGAAACTCTTACTACTGCAAGATGCATAATTTTTATGCCAAGACCATATCATAGAGGAATTATTTTTGCATAGAGAATGATATATTTAAAATCATAAAATAGCATTTAAGTCAATAAAATTAAGGTATACTATTTATAGAATTTCAACTGAAGGAACAGCAAAAATGATCAGCAAACAAGGTAGAAATGAAAAAAAGTGGAAGAAACTATTAGAAACAAGATAATTGAAACACCACATAAAAACAAATATATATAAGATTCAYATAACTTTCAAAAACTTAAATAATTGAATAAAGAGGATAAACTGTTGTGGATTAATACTTCATTTACACAGAAAAATGGTTGCCATACATGAAATTTATCAGGTCAGATAAAGATTAAAAAACAATTACTATGAAAAACATGGGTATATACTATTATAATTTATAACTATTTAAGTATGTGAATTAGAAATTTTAATTTTGAGCCATTTAAAATAAAGTGAAAGATCAGTGCTCAACATGCATTCTGGACTGAAATAAACCTATGAACATTGCATTAACTAAAATCTTTCCTAACTTGCTTCTGTATAATCATATATTTTATAAACAATAAATATTATTTATACATTTTTATATTGTTTTATATTTACATTGTGTAATATATTTTTAAATATTGTATTCTTTGTTTTTATTCCCACCCAGGAAGGCCACTATTGTGAAACTTGTATCTCAGGTATGTACTATGGGTGCATACACTGGGTTACAATGTAAAATCTGTTTCTAATTTGTGGGATATGGTTCCAAAAGTTGGGAAAACACCCCGTAGGTTAATAGTTAGCAGAAGATAATGTTAGGTGAATAAGTTACACAAATGCAGAATGGTTTGGTCCAAGACCACCAGTTTGCAATCCCTGGGCTAAATTGTGAAGGATATTGAGTATAGGTATAGGATTTATTTTGTAGGTACATTGTAGCTAGGACAGAGAAGGGTATAATAAAAAGTGTTTTAGAAGCGTTAATATGTCCCTCCCGACATTTTCCTCCAATGTAAAAAGTCTGAGAGCAGAAAGGTTACGAAAAGTGCTGTTAAGACAGTCCTAAAATGAGACCCTAATGGCAATCAGGAGTGGAGGGAAAGGAGAAAATGGAGGTAAACACAGTGCCAAATAATAATAATAATAATAATAATAATAATAATAATAATAATAATAAAATTTAAAAAAGATAGCTTTTAAGAGCTAGGGGGGACCTTTGGAATCATAGGTTCCATCATCATCTTGGTTCAACATAAGAAAAGTAAAAGAACAAAAACAAAAACCTACTCAGAATATCTGCCTTCACACTCAGGATCCTCAATAGTTAATCCAGTTAGTACAATTTACGGAGGGCTTAGATTCCTTGGAGGATGTGGAGGGCGAGCCCTCAAATTTACTTTCTTCGGAAAGAGTTTTAACGGCCAGCGATTCTCACGCCTTAAAATCTGAATTCCAATTAGTTTCTCTCAGTGCGTCAAGAAGGCGTGTCCACTCCCCTCTCCTCCCCGCCCTGAAACGGAGCATTCGGCATAGTTTCAGAGGGTGCGTCGACTAAGCCACACCAAATCCTCCTAAATTAGTTTGAATCCTATTTATTTCATCAATTTAGGCCTTATGAATGAATACAGAAATGAATATATTTGCTTGTTCAATTTTCAAACTGGAGAGCTTTACTGAGTTTTACACAGTGCCCCTCGCCGAGCGAGGCGAACGGGAACGAGTCTAGAGGAGACACGCGTGGGAGTCAGCGCCGCGCTTCCGGCAGGGGTTCGGTGGCGCTGGCCACCTCGGTTCTTCCCGGTATAAGTCGGGCTGCCCGGGCACAGGGCACGCAGGCACAGCGGGCGGGCGGAGCGTCCCCCTCCTCTCTCCTGAACTCCTGAATACTCAGCTGACAGACCAACTCCCTCGCGGAGGGAACGGAAGGCCAATGTCTGGCGGGACCCGGCGCCATAGCGAGGTTGGTCCGGGGCACATCCCGACGCTCGCCTCGGAGAGTCCCAAGCGCATCTCGGTTTCCGGGTGCGTGTAGGAAGCTACTCGGGAAACCCCAGATCCCTCCCTCAGAGGAAAGTAGCCGATAGCGTCCCCGTTTCCAAGGAAACATGCCGGGTCATGACGTCACTTCCGCCGGCTTGTCTGGACTCCAGACTGTTGGAAGGAGAAGAGGAAAACTGAGCAACAACCACGACGGTGGACGCGAGCGTCTCCTCTCTGCGCATGCGCCCGCTCAGCGGCCTGCTTCTATTTATGTGGGGGATCCAACATGGCGGCTGCGGCGACCCTGGCGATGGCGGTAGAGCCCATCAGAACATAGTAGCGGGGAAGAGGGCACGGTCCACGCTCACGGTGGAGTCGACGGAGACGGCTGAAGGTGGTGGAGGGAAGAAAAGCGACGGAGAACAAGAGGAAGAGCGGACAGGCACGCAGCGCGGCGTAGAAGCGAGCGCCGGCTCGAGCGAAAGCGAAGGGCCAGAACAGTGGGGATGGCGGAGCCGCGAAGAGTGGCGTTCATTAGCCTGTCACCGGTGAGGCGGCGCGAGGCCGAATACCCGGGGGCCGAGCGCGAGCCCGAGTACCCCCGYGAACCCCCCCGGCTGGAGCCGCAGCCGTACCGCGAGCCGGCCCGGGCGGAGCCACCGGCCCCGCGGGAGCCGGCCCCCCGCTCGGACGCGCAGCCCCCGCCGCGGGAGAAGCCGTTCCCCCAGCGCGAGGTCAGTCGCGCCGAGCCGCCCATGTCGCTGCAGCGCGAGCCCCCGCGGCCCGAGCCGCCGCCGCCGCCGCTCCCTCAGCTGCCCTTGCAGCCGCCCCCGCCGCGGGAGTCGGCTTCTCGCGCCGAGCAGCCGCCGCCTCCGCGGGAGACGGTGCGCCTGGAGCTGGTGCTCAAGGACCCCACCGACGAAAGCTGCGTGGAGTTCAGTTACCCGGAGCTGCTGCTGTGCGGAGAACAACGGGTACAGAGGATTCCTCCCTCCCGCCCCAGACCCGGGCAGCCTCAGGACCCGCCGCCTCCCCCGGCTGGTTTGCACCCCGGGACAGCCCCYGGCGCGTCCTGGTCACCCCGAGGGTGGGGTGGAGGGTCCCGGCCGAGCGGGTGGACCGGGCGGGAGCGSGGCGCAGCTCAGCTCCCCGGGGTGGCCGAGGCTCTCCTCGCGACACCGCACCGCGCCTGTTTTTCTCAGCACCTTTCGAAACCTCGAATTTTCCTCTTTTCCTTTCTGCTCCCTACACAAAATMTTGGGGCCCTGCGAGCCGTGTGGCTGGGTTCTTGTGGCGCTGCCGCTGTCTTTCCAATAGATAGGAAGAGAAAACCTTGGGGGACACGCCCCCCAGCCTGAAGCCGAGAGATTGTGTAACCCCTCGTTTCATCCTCATCTTCATCACTGTGGTGCATGGCGCCTGAGCTGCCGAGCTAGGTTTGCGTGCGGGTGTTTTTTTCTTAATTGAAGGGGATTTAAGAGTAATTAACATTTTCAGAGAATARGGATTCCACTTTAGGAATGGAGAAATTGGTTAGTTTTCTGATTACTTGTTTTTCCCCCTCTCATATTGGCAAACGTTTTAGCATCTTTTTAAAAATTTTATTTTTGATGGAGTTTGTTCATAGTGTCATTGAATGGGTGGGTGTCTCTCCTGCTTTATTGGGTGCCACTCATCATGTTCTCATTTGAGTATCATTAATTTATATCTCTGAGTTGTAGGATATTATACTTGGCCATTGTAATTTGTGAAGTATGATGGAAAAAAATCTTGACTTTGAAATTTTAAAAACTTTATTGAAAAGACATAGGTATACCTTTGATGGAACTGGTGAACAATGGGAATTGGAACAGCGGTTTGTTGGTAATTGTAATTTTTATTGTTGTGGGTTCATCTTCGCAAGTGAGTCAGAAAGGAAGATGATAGAGTAACAGAGAGGGAGAAAGAGAGAGAGGAGAGAGAGAGAGAGAGAACATTGTCTTCTGTTTTTAAGAGATTATGGCCTTTTGCTTTAGCATGGGTCTCTAATGGACTCCAGAAGTCACTTGGTTTTGTTTTCCTCATCTATCTGTAGTTGAAATGAATGGCTCTTTAGTCAAAAAGTATCATTAAACACTGTTGCCAAATTTTGTTTATATTGTAGCCAGGTAATCTTTTGATCATTAGTTACAAATAATGTTGTGTGGTCAAATAATTATTAAATGATTTTAAGGAAAATTAATTTTGTTAAGGGTAGGGACTATTTTGGTCACTGTCACATAACATTTTGTCCTCCCTTAGTGCCCTCATCTTGATAAATGTGATGTCATTTTTTTCCCCAAAGAAAATTGAAAGTGTATGGAGTATTTTTTGAGTAAATTGTATTAGACCTGCTAATCTAAGTAGGCTTGCAATTTTTGTAATTTTCATGAATTACAGATAAAAGCATTGTCTTTGGATAAAAATACATAATACCAGMTAATGTATAGTGAATTCTTACTATGTGATAGACAAAGTTGCAAGCAGAATACATTGTTTTATCTGGTTTAGTGTAACAGAAATCATTAGGAAAGAATCATTGTCCCTACTTTAAAAATGAGGCTAACACACAGAGTGATTATATTTAATTTTATTAGTATTTTTTCCATTGTAATAGAGATGCATAGTAAAGCAAAATGTCTAACTGTTAACTAATACTGGTTAAAATTTAGAGCATGATGTCAAAATCAAGTTAAAGTCAAGGTACAAATATAAAGACCTTTTTAATAACCTCCTTTATGCTGTGATGTTCATGCCATGATAAATCAATATGTATTTATAATTTTCAAAAAGAAAAAGTTCAGGGAAGAAAGCTTATTTTGACACCCTAGCTTTTGTTAACATTTTGATATCACAACTATTAACAGTCATGTGGTGTTTAAGGATAGGACACTTGCAGTTCCCTCATTGTGCAAGCATCATGGAATGTACTTAACAAACCTAGGTGGTGTAGTCTACTACTTTGCTTCCTATACCCCTATACCATTGTGTGCCTGCTGTGTCCTTAAGACATTGTCCTGTAGAGTGTGACTATACTTTCATGTTCTAGGAGAAAGATGAATAATTTGATGTTTATGTTTACTGCATACATAATGTTCATTTAGGGGTTAATTGGTCCAATTTTATCATTATACATTCAGCCATATGCCTTTTATCATTCCACAAGTTTTTTTTTTTTTTTTTTTGCTTCACTATAGATACAAAATACTTTTGCAACAAAAATTTACCAGATTTTCTTGTGATTTCTCCCAGTTAGTACATAAGAAATAGTAGAAAGCACTTGTTTAAGTAAAATCATCATAGTTCCATGACAGGAAATCCTAAAGAGAGGCCATCCGAAAGCAAAATGAGTAGCTTAGCCTGGAAAGTAATGATTCCCAAATATTCCTCTCCTTTCCTGGGAATAGTCCACATATTTTGAGAGATGATATAATATTTTCAAAGTAGTTTTAATTTTGGGTTATTGTAATTGAACATAATGTTCTGTAAATATCAGAAGAAAGGGAAGAAAGAGATCTTATAAAATTAGAAGGAAAAGGCTCTAAATTTTTTATACAGCCATCTATCACTGAATAAGATTGCAGCTCTAAATCCCAAAGTTGATACATGTGGAATTGGAGGGAAAAAGTGGTACTTGTGAATACCATCTATATGGGGGAGCATTTAAATTACTCCCCTTCCGTTATGTATAAATGTAATGCACCCATAAAAAAAAGGAAAAAATGAATCAGCCCTTTTATAAATACTAAATGAAAAGTTAAACACAAGTCAACTGAAACTTTCTATGACCAGTTTTTATAAATGAGGAAAAGCACAATTAAATAGAATATGCTGGCAAAACATAGAGAGCAAAGCCACCTTTCAGGTCATCTGGATGTAGTTGACTAAAGCTTTCCTTGATGCTTCTGTGCAGAATGTGCTGTGGCTGAGGTGTTTCAGGATGAGACCAAGGCAGTRTAGACATCTCTATCCTGATAGATTTGTTCACCATTTCTGTCTGAAGAATGATAGTGTGTTTTAGTTTTGGCAGTGATTGATGTACAAGAAAAAAAACTTGTTGTAAATCAGAAAACAAGAAAAAAAAAACTTAAATTCTTAGTAAACAGAAAATTCATTACCCAAAACACCAATTTGTGAACATGAATAATTGGATGTTTACTGTAAAGAGAAAAATAAGTAACTGTAGTACTAAAGAATTCTCTGGGACTGGGATTGTGGCTCAGTGGTAGAGTGCTCGTCTAGCACTCATGAGGCACTGGATTCCATTTTCAATACCACATAAAAATAAATAAAGGTATTGTGCCCATCTACAACTAAAAACAAATATTAAAAAAGAATTCTCTGGCATTCTGTTGTTTGTTCCATTGCATATTTTGGATAAAGATGTATGAAAGATCAGGAAATGATGTTAATAAGAGCAAAGGGCAAAATTTTGTACATGGATAGTTAGGGTAGCTGGTAATTTTTGGATTATTTTTTCACCTAAAAAAATAAAAGAATCATACTTCAGTTTGATTGAAGGAGGAGAGGTATTTTTAACTATAAAAGAAAAATAAATCTGGGCTGGGGTTGTGGCTCAGTGGCAGAGCGCTTGCCTAGCATATGTGAGGCACTGGGTTTGATTCTCTGCACTGCCTATCGATAAATAAAATAAAGGTCCATTGACAACTAAAAAATATTTTTAAAAAAGGAAAAATGAATCATTTTCTTAAATTTATTTTTATGGACCATCAGGAGTAAGTAAAATATTCTTTGAAACCTGTATAGAGTACATAAAATATTTTAGAATAACACATAAAGATTTTTTGTGTGTATGTGCTAGGGTTTGAACCCAGGGCTTTGTACATGAGAGGCAAGCACTCTATCAACTGATCTATATCACTAGCCCCTAAAGATGATTCTTAATAAAAATAAAAATATAGCTCCCTGTGTGGATATCTACACATATGAAATGGATCAGACTGCTAGAAACACGTACTATTTGGACTTCACAGTGACTTGAAGGGGCAGTTTAAAATAATAATAGCAGAACATGGTTATTGCTCACTGTCCCTTAACTTTAACCTTAAGGCTATACCTGAACATGTCTAGTATTTCTTATTTCCTTACCAGTGTAGTCTTGCTAGTTTATTTTCTTTTGGATAATGTTTATATTTTTCATTGATAACTCCAACTGGGATAAGGCATTCTACAAATTTATTACTTATTACAGTTATAAAAATTTATTCTAAAGTRAACTTTTTAAGCCTTAAGAAGTATCCTTTTATTCTAATGACCTAAGTGTGATGAATTGTTTTGTATTCATTCTGCCCATAGTTTCCTATCAGATGTTTTAGACTGATCATATCTCAGCCTTTATGTCTAGGATGAAGCATCTCGGTTCCAAAGTATGGAAATCTTTGCCTCTTCTGCATTTTTTGCATTTTTTTTTCCGCTGTCCTTCATGGTCACCCAAATCTATACAGTATTTGAGTTGTAATATACTTTTTTTTGGGGGGGGGGTACCAGGGATTGAACCCAGGGGCGCACAACCCCTGAGCCACATCCCCAGCCCTTTTTTTATTTTTTATTTTGAGACAGGATCTTGGGGAAGTTGCTGAGGCTGGCTTTGAATTTGAAATCCTCCTGCCTCAGCCTCCCGAGTCACTGGGATTACAGGTGTGCGCCACTGTGCCTGGCCCATACTTTCATTTTTTTTTTTTTTTTTTAAAGAGAGAGTGAGAGAGGGGAGAGAGAGAGAGAATTTTTAATATTTATTTTTCAGTTCTCGGTGGACACAACATCTTTGTTGGTATGTGGTGCTGAGGATCGAACCCGGGTCGCACGCATACCAGGCGAGCGAGCTACCACTTGAGCCACATCCCCAGCCCCATACTTTCATTTTTAAGTAATCAAAGATACCACTTAAGCAAAACATCTAGTCTTTCTTTTTAAAAATTTACTTTCAAATCAATTGTCTGAAATTAGATAAAAATAATATTTTTAAAAAGCTCTATTTTGACTTTTTTTTGTGTGTAAATTGAAAACCATATATAAAATTGTGTCTGCTGAAATAGTGAACCTGAGTAAAGGTTGTGATTTGTTTGTTTTGGCAAACAGATGGTAAATATAGGATCCTAGCTGTTGGGTGCAAGCATGCGCTCTCTCTGCCTGTGTGTGTGTGCATGTGTGTTGTGGGGTTTTTTTTTTTTTTGGTACTGGGGATTGAACTCAGGGGCACATGACCACTGAGCCACATCCCCAGCCCTATTTTGTATTTTATTTAGAGACAGGGTCTCACTGAGTTGCTTAGCGCTTCATCGTTGCTGAGGCTGGCTTTGAACTCGCGATCCTCCTGCCTCAGCTTCCTGAGCCGCTGGGATTACAGGCGTGTGCCACCATGCCCGGCGCATGTGCGTTTTGAACTGCGTATTTTACAATAAAATTTCACTGTCCCCTGCTAAAAGAAAGCCATGGTAATGTAAACTTTTCGCAGTTATTTGTCTTTTCTACCTTTGTTTAAAAATAGTATGTACTCCCTGAACATATATCCATTGACAAGAGATAGAGAGGATATAGAAATTGTTGATTCTGGGTCTCATCAGAAAGCTGGGGAGGCTGAAGATACTGGAGTAATAACTCATAGATGATTAAATGTTTACTCTAATTAATTTCTAGACATTCTTTTAGAGACATTTCCTGACCAAAGCAGTTAAACYTTATTAGGGAAGATGTCAAGCTGGAGTTGTGTATGTTTTCATTTTTACCTAATGTTTTGGGGAATTTTCACCTTATTATTTTGGATGAGGTGATCGCATGACCATTTTTCAAGTAGAGTCAGTTTGGATTGTTACATTCTTGGACACCAAAAAGCTAGAAGTATATAAGTCTACCAAAACTGCAAATATTTTCTTGTTATGAATCAACAATTCTTTTTTAGTTACTTTTAATCCTACTAATTTGCTTGTTTGCAGTAGGAAAAAGTGATTCTCATTATTGATTAAATTTCAGAATACATTCAACTGAATGATAATAATTAAAGTAATTATATGATGTATAATTATTGAATACACATTAAATGTTATTGAATATAATTGCATATTCAATTATATTGAAAGATAATTGAAGTAGTTAATGTATATCAATAATAATAATAGTTGAAGTAATACTAATACTTTCATTTCTTTTTCCTATTCACTTTGAATCAGAAGAAGATTGTTTATTCAGAAGACCCATTTAATGATGAGCATCGGGAGAAGCAAGAGGTAGAAATGTTGGCTAAGAAGTTTGAAATGAAATATGTGAGTATAATAGTGTTTGGATAGGTGGTTTTATCCTACTGTTCTATTTTCTTTTCATGGCTGGTTGGGAGGGTTTAAAAATATCCATTGCCTGCCTTATCTTGTTCTCACAAATTGAACCCAAATGAATGGTAAGAGTTTGATTACATTTGTGATGGTTGTAGTAGTAGACACCATTGGTTATAGTCCTTCTAGAGTCCAGAAAGCTGACTTAACATATATTATCTCCAGTTTTTATAACAATACCACAAGATAAGTAATATTGTCCATATTTTACAGATGAAGAAATAGGCTCTGAGCCCAGTTGATCTGTGTTTCACAGTGACAAGAACGGGTAGCACATCCATACTATCTAGCTCTAACCTTGTGCCTTTTCCATTATGGGGAAGCACTCTGTTTTAATTCCCTTGGTGTAGTAGTTTTTGAACCTTTCTTTTAAAAGTTTAAGAGAGTTAGTGTGTGAGCTATACTTGTAGGTCATTTGAATCATTCTCAATCAGAAGCAACACAAAATTTCTTTGAAAGCGTCTGTTTATCTTAAATATTCGTGTACATTCTATATTCTATGCCATATTATATTAGTTCTTATTTTATATAAAAATGATTTTTATTGCCTCAGATTTTCTAGTATAATTTGTAGGAAACTCCCCAATCCCCCATCTTTAACTATGGCTTTAACTACTCTTTGGCACTTTGCTAAAAAAATAACCCAGATGACAAAACCAGATCCCTTTTGATTCTTCCATGAACATTGAGAAGTATTTTATAGAGATAGGATATCAGCTCACACTAGCCCTGCCATTTATATTATCCTCAAAATGCAACATGGTTGACTTTTTGGTGGCTCCTTGTGGTAATTAAGAAACCATTTGTGGGTGATAGAAATATACAAGAAAAGATTAGAATTTTTGTCAATTTCTAGGCTTACTTTGCTACCTGCTGACTGTGTCCTTTAGGTGAGGTTATTTAGCCTCTTAGGGTCACATTTTTTAATAAATCACGTTTCAAGATTTTTTCAGAGACCCTTCTGGGTCTGTATTCTGTGGCTATATAATAATAAATTTAAAKATGAACTGGTGGGTATTTTAATAAAAAGATAGTAAAAGTTGTTAACTCTAATTTGTAATTTTTTAATTATAGTGTAACTTTGTGAGATTATACTGTATTGCTATGTATAAGTCCTAAAATGCTGTGTTTTGTATACAAATTATACATTGGTTTAATGTATTTAATCAAGCAGTGCATTTACATGGTTTAAAATTTTTTAAGAACTATAAAGTGACAAATTTTCTTTTTAATTTTCTTTATTGTATTTCCCACTCATTTAATCCCACTTCCTAGGCAAGTGTTGGGTGGGTCCTTTTAGAGATGTTATATGTGCATGTCTCTCCCTCCATATACATATGTATACACACATATGAATATGTATATGCACATATATATGCATACATATACAATTACATACACAAATATGCACACACATCTAGTACATGCCACCCACTTGTTATACATGTTTTCAGAATACTACACATCCTTGTGCTCTTTACTTTTTTGCATTTTTCTAAATCTTAGAGATTTTTTTTCTACTTCTCAGAACAAAGAACATATGCTCTTTTTATTTAAGGATTTTAAAATTATTTAATTAATTATTTTATTTATTTATTGGTACTGGGGATTGAACTCGGGGGCATTGAGCCACCTCCCCAGCCCTATTTTTTTTTTTTTTTTTTAATTTAGAGACGGAGTCACTGAATTGTTTAGCTCCTTGCTTTTGCTGAGGCTGGCTTTGAACTCTTGATACTCCTCCATCAGCCTCCCGAGTTGCTGGGATTACAGGTGTGTGCCACCATGCCTGGCTATGTATGATATTTTATTTATGGAAATATCAGTTTATTTAACTAGTCCCCACATGGTTTAGGTTGTTTAAAAAATTTTTGCTCTTATAAATGATGCTACCGTAAATTATTTTATAAAAGTGTCATTTTACACATTTTCAAATTTATCTGCAAGACAAATTTATATAAGGGGAAGACTTGGTCAAAGTTTTATATATTTATCATTTTGCTATGTGTCACTAAATTTTCAGATTCCACTTCTTCCAGCTTGATAATTAGAGTGGGGGTTTTTTTGTTGTTGTTTTGCCATGGATTATAAAAAAAAAAAATTAGAATTGCCCTTTGCAAATCGAAAAGATCCTGTATGTAATGTGACTCAGTGTGACTCATGATTTGACTTGTAATGTGACTCAGCATGTGACGACATGCTGCCTCCAAGTTAGCAATAATCTTCTTGGGGTCCCCTAGATTAGCATTTGGCATAGAAAAACCTGTGTTCTGATGTTGTGTGGTGTATAAGATTGAGTTCCAAACAACTTGACSATATCCAAACATTGTCATTATGCCCAGATGAAATACTACTCTYTTTTTTTCTTTTTCTTTTTTGTAATGCTGGGGATTGAACCCAGTGCTTTGTACATGCAAGGCAAGCACTCTACTGAGCTATCCCCAGCCCCTACCCCCCAGCCAGAGTCTCAACTAAGTTGTTGAGGCTGACCTCAAACTTGKGATCCTCCTGCTTCAACCTCACAAGTCACTGAGATTTCAGACATGCGCCACTGCATCCCACTTGAAATACTATTCTTATTAGAGCCCAAATTAATGTGGTATGATTCTTTTCTAAATTTTTATTTTCCCTACTTTCACTTCCATTCTAATTAGAGATTTACAGTGTACTATATTGTGAAATTTTATGTACATGAACCTAAATGCATGTTATAATTATCATATCGGTGTTAAATTTATATGTGTGTATGTGTGTGTGCGTGTATATATATATATATACACACACACACACACACGCGTGCGCGCGCACACACACACACACACACACACACACACACACACACATTGTTTGGAACTTTTAAGAAAATTATGAGGCCAGAAGTAACCTGAGAGAAGATAATTCATCTGGCTCTGGGTCATCACAAAAGATTTCTTAAATGGATATTCAGGGGTAGCAAATACAGATGTTTTACTAGTTGGAAACCAGAAATTGTAGGGAGTATAAAGTTGTAAAATTGCATTTACAGGGTTCCTGCTGTTGTATTCTATCTCATTTTTATGGCTATGGTTTTATTTCTTGTTACTGCTTTTATGTTCAGATAATATGACAATTCATGTTTACCAACAATTTGTACATGGTTTTTTGGGTAAAGGGCAATGTTCTGTTAAATACTTATCAGTACCTGTTGACATTTGTATACTAATATTACTAATAGAGTATGCTAATTGCATACTATATGTATGTAAATCTTTTAAAATAGGTGAGTCCAAGTTTTAATATTTCTACTTCTCAATAAACTCCAGCTTAGTCTCATTGGTTACTGGAAGCAGGATTCAGAAGGCATGGGAACCTTACTCTTCCCAATTAGGCTAAAATTCCAGATTCCCACACAACTTTTAGATGGTTTCTAGGTGGTATATGTCTTCTTGAGGCCATGTATGCTCTCGAACAGGAAATGAGGTTCCGTTTAATGGTTATAGATTTGTTTTCTTCACTTTGTAAGATATAGGATAACCTGTGATGCTTGGAAGGTTTCTCTGACTTATTTTGCTTCTGTTACCCCAGCTATCATGAAAGATCATGCTCTTAGAATTGAATATAAATTCAGTAATCTGAATAAAAGTGTTTGTCTAGCATACTACTCATGCCTGTCAGGGACTCAGTTAAGACTTTGGTTATGAGTGATTCCCTAATAGGAACATATATTCTGCCTACTGTTTAATTCTGTGTGATTTTGGACTCAAAGAGTACTAGTAACTGTATACTTATTTTGAAAGAGAGGACTAGTAACTGTACACTTATTTTGAAAGAAAGCTGGGCACAGTGGTACACACCTCTAATCCTAGCAACTCCAGAGGCTGAGGCAGGAGGATCTCAACTTTAAGGCCAGCCTCAGCAATTTTTTATAGACCTTGCTTAAAATTTAAAAAAGGGCTGGTGATATATCTCAGTGGTAGAACACCCCGGGTTCAATCCCCAGTATTACCTCATATGAGGCCAAGATAGATTTAATAATATTAAAGAAATTCTGAACAGGCTTATAAATAGAACAGTTGATGAAATAATACTAACTTTACTCAAAGACAAATTATATTTCTAAAATCTTGATTTCTTTTGATGTAGATTATAAAATTGATTTTTGTTCAGATAGATTTTAAAGAATTATAGTATTTTAAAAACTACAATACTTTTTTTTTTTTTTTAAAGAGAGAGTGAGAGAGGAGAGAAAGAGAGAGAGAGAATTTTTAATATTTATTTTTTAGTTCTCGGCGGACACAACATCTTTGTTGGTATGTGGTGCTGAGGATCGAACCCGGGCCGCMCGCATACYAGGCGAGCGCGCTACCGCTTGAGCCACATCCCCAGCCCAAAACTACAATACTTGATAAGTGACTTCTTCACAATAAATACTACTTAGTTGAATGGAAATAAATATAATTTTGTACTTAAAATAATTATGTATTATGTTTTAAAAGTGTTCTCAAATGTGGTACTGATATAAGTGGATGTTATAAAAACATTTATGTTCTCTTTCTGGGAATTTTGAGAATTATATCAGTTATTCATTATTAATTAATCATATCTGCTTAGAAGTTAAAACTTCCTTGGGGATATCCTAGGGTCTGGTTTTCCTGTTTTGTCTGTAACATTAGGTCTGACTTCTACGGATCAACTTATAGGTCTCTAGTTAAAGGAGTTTGGACAAACTTATTAACATCACCACAAGATAAATTCTACTTGCAAAACACAAATACCAGTGTGTTTAGTGTTTTGTAGGTCAGCAGTATATTATATATACCACTGACCCACCATATCTGCAGTTTTTACATCTGTGGATTCAACCAACTACAGATCAAAAATACAGTCCCCCCTAAATTGCACCTGTACAGAACATGTAAAGATTTTTTTTTGTCATTATTCCCTAAATTATATAGTTC